CCGACAGGGTGTCGTCCACGTCCTCGCAGCCCTGAGGGTCCACACTGAACACCAGGTGGGTCTGTCGCAGGTCCCGGCGCCCCAGCACCTGCTCAGGCTCCACATCCCAGCGGCTGTCGGTGGGAATTACCGGCATCTCCCGCAGCTGATGGCCAGGACACAGACCGCTCACTGCCGGCCCATGGCCCACGGCCGAGCCCCCGACCCCCGCGCTCGCGGGCGGACGGGCAGACGGCACTCACCTGCGCCTCGGAGAAAGGCGGCACCTGGATGCTGTTCTCCACCAGGATAGTGGCCACCTCGGTCTCCAGCTGGCCCACTCTGCCCAGGACCCGCACAAAGTGCCCATTCGGGAACAGAGAGGAGCTGTCCCACGAGTCCAGGCGCACCACCACGCGCTGGTCCTGAAACGCAGAGCAGAACAGGAAACAAGGCGGAGGAAGGGGGAGAAGGGTTAGACCTGGGCTTACTTCAAACAACGCCAGAAAGAGAGAACTACATTGTCTGACCGTCACTGTCACCATCAGCGCAACGCCAGTTCAACCACATTCCTGCCACTCCAACCTGAACTTCAGATTGCTGCCACTACACCATACCGCTGCGAAGAAAGATGAGGCTGCTGCCCCAAATTCCACATGGGATGAGGGCACTAGACTCCAGCACAGGTGATAGTGGTACAGCAAAGAGCCAGCTCACAGGGCTACAGATCCCTGATCTAGACAGCTTTCATTAGACCTGGCTTAGTATGGGTTGCTTGCGGCTGTTTGCTGTCTACAGTGAACCATTTCCACACCCGTTGTAAGACTGCATGCTTGCATCCCTGCAGGTTCTGTTGAAAGTGTTCAGTCCACGACAACAAGGCTGCACCTCTCTGCTGCAGGGGTCTGGGATCTAGAGACCCAGGGCGATGATCACCTGCAGTGCTTCGGCCTGCTGGGTGCTGATCCTGATCTTGGGAATCCGGTAGTCCCAGGGCGTGACCAGGATCCGCTGGGAGTTGCGGCTCTGAGACTGGATCTCCTCGCGGGGGGGGAACGTCACCACGTAATCCCGCCAGTTCCTCTGCAGGATCCCCACCACCCGACCTGGAGGACCCGGAGACGGTGTGGAAGGGGAGGATGCGATGGGGAAAAGCAGGATGAGAAAATGGGAGTTACAGATAGAGGACAGACAGGAAAGAAGAGGCACATTTTCCCAATCTCTACCAACTCAGAGTGCCTGTAAACATACGAGAGTAACAGAGCCAAAAGCTTTACAGCCAGACGAGGCGATGAGATTTGTAGTAGAGCTGGAATAACCACTTGCCTCAGCAGCGTTAACAGCGACAGATGGAGTGCCCTCTGCTGACCACAGCCGGAACTGCACACCAGTAAGTCCATGAGCGTTGCAGGGGCCTCCTGTTACTTTACGTTTTCGAAATACTCCGTACTGGAGGTCAACTCTGTTAATTAATGGTTGATCGCCGTGAAAAGGTGGAGAAACAGAGCTGCTGCACTGAGCGCGCGGGCCGTACCTGTTGGCATGGGCTGGCCCTGGGGCTCCTCCCCCTGCCTGTCCTCGCCCTCCCCGTCGCTCAGCGCCATCGTCCGCCCGCGCCACTCTGCACGGGACAGCAGCTCCACCGCCACCACGTCCCCATGGACCGCGCGGTTCCGGAGCTTCCCGCCGAACACCAGCACGTCGCTGTTGAGCTCTGCGCGGCAGGGAGACAGACTTCAGGGCGAGAGGACATGGCTCGACAGGAGACGCCAAACAATCGCTCGCCTTTCTGGGAAAAGGGGTCCAGGGGCGGGCCAGCACGTGCGGACAGCAGACAGGCCCAGAAAAGAGATTTCACTTCCCCACCTTACTGGACATGGTCTGGGGAAGCCAGCTGGGGGGTTGGCAGCAGGGAGGGGAAAGGGTGAAACTGCTCACCTGCGTTCTTGTTCGAAGAGCCCTCTATCCGGACGAAGGCTTCGGCCTGGGCTCTGTGCTTGTTGACATTCAGGACGCCCTGCAACGCATCAGACACAAGGTGAGGCCCCGGGCCGGCACAGGCCGCTTCCACCGAGACTCCATCCAGCCGCTGCCTCACCAGTTTGGCAAAATACACAAGACGCAAGTCTTTCACTGGAAATACAGCCGAACATTGACTACATTCAGAACAGGCAAAAGAGCTGGTGATCCCCTTTTCTTAATGTAACATCCATCCATATTCTTATGGCTTTATCCAGTACAGGGTCATGACAGCCTGGAGCCTATCCCAGGAAGCAATGCGCACAAGGCAGGGTACGCCCTGGACAGGACACCAGTCCATCACAGGGCACACGCTGACACCCACACACCCACACCAACAGGGCCAATTCTCCAGTATGTCTTTGGACTGTGGAAGGAAACCAAGGAAACCCACGCCAACACAAGTAAAACATACAAACCAGGTAGGATCCATTTCAGAAAATCCCCCCGGAGGCGGCGGAGGCAGACCTGGATATATCTCCCGGATTTGATCCCGGCCTCCAGGATGTCAGAGGGGAGGTGCTCGGCGTATTCCCGCTCCCGGACCTCGCTCCCCTTCTCCCTCAGCGCCTGGGCGATGGAGGCGTACAGCTCGTGCGCAGCCTGCAGGTCTGGCCAGAAACTCTCCAGGTACTCCTGATGAGCAAGAGAAGACCGACCTGCTAGCAACACACTACAACTCAATACACCAGGTAGCTCTGCACCAAGTTCTCTGCCTGTACACTGTGTGAACAACAATGCAAATACTCGTGACTCTTGTGCTAGTATGAATAATATTTAAAGCCGATACAATTATAAGAGCAGATTAGGTTCATAGATGATTTTTAAGAATCTACACCGCTTCCTAATTTCTAGGAAGATAAATTTGCAGCTAGATATTGACACTGATAAGCCAGATTGGTAACAAAGAACTACACACACCCTACTGAAAAACCAGGGTACAAACAGTCCCCTCTCAGTCATTGAACAGCAACCACTTGGAACATGTGGCCTTTCACTGCACCACCTTGCTCTCAGTTAATCACACATCAGTATGTGTAAATGTTAATTAGGCCTCACACTGAAGAGTCACTGAACACTCTTCAGTGTAAAAAACAGAAGTACTACTGTTTTAGCAAAGCCATGTGACATGTTAAACAGTCAGTGTGCTGATACAAGGGCTTAGATTCAGTCAAACGCTGTACACATTTCCAGTCTTTACTGTTCTAGAAGCTTTTTAGATTTGCACTCATGGCTTGTACCTGGGTGGAAATGACATACACCCCAGAGTTGAGGCTGCTGTACTCCTCGATGGCCTCACGGTCCTCTGTGATCATCACGATGGGTTTCAAGCCAGCCAGGTGGTTGTAGTACCACACAGCAGCATGGTACACTGACCTGCAGCAACAGCACTCCAATTAATAACACTGAACGGCACCTGGGCACATCTGGAAAGACAGGCAACTGCAGGAGTCAGGTGCACAAATGCACACAGATACTATCTGGCAACAGATGTTGTCAGCAATACAGTACAACTTGTAAACACATCCATTTTATCTTTAGTGACTAAAATGCAAGGTATCCAGGTTATTTAAATTGTTTTTGCATACCTGCACTAATAAAACCTCATTTAGAATACTGCACACAATCTTGCCTGCTACATTACAGAAAAGATATGGCTGCTCTGGAGTCTGTCCAGAAAAGAGCCATCAGATACATTCCAGTGTCCTGCGCTGACTGGCTAAAACAGCTGAATCTTTTTACTTTTTTAAACAGAGAAGACAATGAGGCGACTTTATCTGAGCATCCATAATCCACAAAGGCACTGACAAAGTCAGCCCAGAGGACTTCTTCAGGATCAACAGTGAAACAGGTGGTACACAGGTGGAGTCTACTTGTTAGGGCATTGAAAACTAAGAACATGAGGCACTTCTTTACACAAAGGGGTGCGGGAGTTTGGAGCAAGGTACCCACCCATGTTGTGGCAGCCGATACCCAGGTTTCTGTCAAGAAATGACTGGATAAGGTCCTCGAATCAGTTAACTACTAACTAACCAATAGACTGGAAGGGCCAAATGTTTTCCTCTCTGTTCTTCAAATATGTATCCATTTAAAGTAATTGGCATCTCAAATTTACCTTTCCAACTCCAGCCCAGAATCTAGCTTGCAAGGCAGGCTGGCAAGGGCGGCGGGGGCTCACCTGGTGTGCCATTTCTCCAGGGCCTCTCCTCTCTCCCGGGGGCAGTAGGAGTAGAGCTGGAACTCGTTGGAGAAGAGGACGCAGTCGTGGCGGGGGTCCTTCACCAGGCTGCGCAGACGGTTGTACAACCTGGGACAAACAGAGCGCACGGCATCCCTGTCAACAGTGGCCCCTCGTTCCTGCTTCAGCTCCACGGCCGCCTGATACTAGCCACTGCTGTCGTCGGTAACAGCGGAGGTCGACGACCTGAACCCCGTGACAGCACAGCTACAGTACCCCGGCTTCCTGTTGCTCCAGGAAGTGATCTCAGAACACTGCTGCCTCCTCCCACCCACACAGCTTATCCGAGCGAGCCCATCCCACAGGTGTGCGGGTGTATGAGTGCTACCCCCCTCCCTGATTGGGACGCCGGAGAGAGGGGATGATTTGGAATTGCCAATCAAACCTACACGGCCTTTCTCTGGGAGGTGGGAACACTTGACTCAGCTTGGCTCAAAAATGCGTGAGACAACATGCAAACTCCACGCAGACAGATGTGACCTTGAGAAATCGAACCCTGGACCCTGGAGTCGTGAAGGAGTGGAGCTAACCACTGCACCACCACCCCCGGGCTTGTGCTGCTTTTACACGTTTCTGTACGTACTCAATCTTGAGTGGAACTGCAACACCTCACCACAGGGCGGTGTCTAGTGTTATGTCTTTCACTGCTGATGCCGATGCTCATGCAATTGGGCTAAAAGGAGCATCACCTGTGCCACCTGCTGGCAGGGAAAACAGCGGTCGCTTCACTAATTTACAAAAAGGTAAATGTTCATGGAAGCTGAACATTATAACTTTCAACGGCTGTATTATGGAAGCGCTTTGATTCCAGTGTATCCAGAGATGCCAAGCTTGCCCTCTTCACAGTGCAGCTCCTCTGTATGTTTGCAAGTTAATACAGTACTTGTACAGCTGCAGTAGTTCTTTAATTCACCAGCGAGCGGCATAAAGAGGGACTGATCCATCGGAAGCCTTTTACAGATACAACTTAAAATCTTTCTTTTAAGCCATTGACTTCATCCTGAGAGGCTCTGAGTCAGTCAGCACCCTGCTGTTGTTTCTGGGAAACTTCAGAAACGATTACCATGCACAACACTAGAATTTCACCTTTGCTACAAATAAAAAGCACAGAGTCAAATTCATATGATATGCACAAAGCAGTTCAAGTAGCTCTTCAAACTCTTCCCTGCCACAAAGCGACACATACTGCCTGTCTCCTAACAGAAAAAGAAATAATTACTGTAATTAAGTGTTATCCAAGAGGTAATGTAGCACATTTCCATTGTGTCTGCCTTTTATTCAATGACAAGTGGGGGAGAAGATAGAGGAAGTTGAAACTAGTATTTTTAACCTAATGAAAATAATTTTAAAACAAAAACAGAAAACTGTCTCAGCATAATCTTTTTTTGTGCAGAATAGAAGGCGGCTATGACCACTTACCTGAATTAACTAACTCTCTGAGCTTCTGGTGGACGTCTGAAAATATCTTTTAGGCCCTTACAGCAGCATATCATGTGTGGAAACCTAGTCTGATGTCATTCATTTGCAAACCTGCACTATTCCTTAACTCCATGCCTGGTGCTTGTTCATGCCTCAGAATGCTACTGCTAATAATAATCAGCCATTAATCGTAGCTACTTAAAATGCTTTACAGTAAAAAAACAAAAACAGGAGAGGAGACAACACAATTAGAACAATTAAAAAGTAGACAATGCAAAATGGCAGACACAAACATCAATTAAATAAAAGCCTTTTTGAAGAAGGAGGTTTTGAACTGAATTTGGGGATAGAATTCCCCAGAGCTATGGGGCACAACAGGAGAAGAACTTGTCACCATTGAATGTGAGCTGGGGGTCAAAAAGGAGATCAGAGTCAAACAAACGAAGCTTGCGATTTGGAGAGAAGGAACATACTGTAAGTCAGACAGGTATGAGACGTCAAGCCATGTAGAGCCCCATATGTGAGCATGAGGATTTTGAAGTCAGCTTGAAACCTGACTGGAAGCAAGTGCAAGGACTCCACGACAAGAGTAATGTGATTACTTGCACACAACCTGATCAGGATTCTGGCTGCTGAAATCTGGACAGACTGAAGTTTGTTTAGTGTGGATTTAGATATCCCAGCAAGCAGGCCACTGCAGTAATCAATTCTAAAGTAAATGAATGCTGACTGGCTTTTCAGCTACAGTCAGAGACAACATAGGACATACTCTGGCAATATTTCTGAGATGGAAGAATGATGTCTTTAAAATATTTTGTCCACAGGGCTCAGAATAACGAAAATGCTCTTTGATATCGGCTGTACACATTGTAAAAAACCCTACCCAGGTTCCACCATGCACAGCAACAAACCCCAGTGAGAGGTTAATAGGTTTTACAAGACTTTTGGATTAAAGACAGATCCAATCTGACAGCTCACTAAAATAGTGCATCCCTCTTGCTCAGCAAACTCTGCCAATATTCCCTGCTACTCTGATGTGAGCAGTGGGGTAATTAACAGCCCAGCATGGACTGTGCTGCACCTTGTCAAGCATGTCTCCCTAACACAATGAAAATGAAGCCTTGCTGTATTAATGATGCAAAGATTAAAATGAGCTGCAGGCATAAATAAGAAAACAAAAATGCTAC